GGGGGGGGGGGGGGGGAGGCTGCAAATATTAAATGGAATAGCCCATTAAAGATAAAGAGCAGAGCCCAGCAAATAACTTTAAAACCAAACATAATAAAAGTAAAAATTTATTAGCTAACGTTTCGTTGTTAATACAATACAACATCTTCAGAGCAATCTAACTGAATTTACAGGGTATGGTATATATGTTTACAAAATAATGGTTTAATATTACAAAAACGGTTGCATAGTTTGAAACAAATGAATAGAAAGAAAGGAAACAACTAAACAACTAATCTTTTCTTATTAACTAATTACTGATTAGTTGTTTTCCTTTCTTTCAATACATTTGTTCTTTCAAACTATGAAACCGTTTCTGTAATATTAAACCATTATTTTGTAAATATATATACCATACCCTGTAAATTAATTTAGATTGCTCTGAAAATGTTGTATTGTAAACAACGAAACGTTAGCTAATAAATTTTTACTTTATTTGTTATGTTTGGTGTTAAAGTTATTTGCTGGGCCTGTTCTTTATCTTTAAACTAAGATTTCTGCCGGGAATAGCCAATTGATACCTAGTGGCTAGCTTAGGAATTTGCTTTTAATATAAGTATATGTATATAACCCATAGGAATGGCTTCATTGGTCGATCAATAAGCTGTACGAACCAGACAATTAGTACAGGGAAGAGGGACATATTTAAATGTATAAGAACACACTGTACATATAATATTAGTATATTATGCACCAAATGTTAGTATATTTTGCGCCAATCAATTCGTACTTTTAATATCCCCCGGGCATTTGTCATCTTGCTCTATCCCCAGAGTGGGAAATGTGATCTTTTGAACTGCTGCTAGGGTAGGGCATTTGACACCAAGTCACAAGACATGGGGCATTTGACCATTCAATACACCAGCCTGCGCTAGGTCTGAGACTATTAATAAGATTCAAAATTCAAAATGGAGTATACTGTACTTTAATGCTTTTAGGAAACTTACTTTATAAAGAATGAGGTGTAAGTTTTTTTAATACAGTGTTTCATTTATAAAAAGTTGAAGTTACCTTCAGAATTAAGTGTGTAGTATGTTATCACACAATTGCGAACTTGAACTAACAGAATTACAGTCAGAATGATCCGGAGGTGGGGAAATTGTCATTTGACCATCAATTTTCCGTTATACAGTATGTGGAGCATTTGAATAGCGTTTTTGGCCTGGAACTGCTGGGAGTGGGAAAGTTGACCACAAAAGATGTTAATAGTATTAAATTGATTGGCGTATTACTACAGTACAGTACATTTGAACATACACACCTACAGTACTGTATGGTCAGTAATAAAAGTTCATGATTTTTCCCGTTGTCCGCCCCAATCAGGTATAGTTAGCTTTCATTTTAAATGAACAAAATGTATATGAAGGCCATTTGTTGACCTGGGCATACGAATGCCAGTTGTTTGGCTTCGTTATCAAAGTCCGACGCTGTTTTGACACCAAAATCGTTTTGCTAGGCCACCATTTCGAAAATAACGTTGCCAATACTTCATGTAGTTACATAAATAGAGGATCACACGGCGGCGCAAAGAGTGACTTTTATCTTCGAGTGGTAAAAACAATATTTTACGAAAGAGCGCAATGTTCTAAAAGTCACGTGATTGATATCTTCACTAGTGAAAAGTCCAGGGTTTGTTTTATCGTGCAGTTCTACACAAAATGTACAGTTCTAAACCCATTTGTGCAGTTCTTAAAACTCAAATGTGCAGTCACCAAATTAACAAAAATACTGTATAGCCTCAAAACAGTCTTCTCATTTACTCGTTTCCTGTAGTAACTTAAATACTAGTATAATAGTTCTTCAAGGAAGACAGCTCTTCGCTTAACGTTTTATTCTATACTACAAATATTCTCAGTTTACACAAACATGCTCATGCTAATATCATGCTAATATCATGCATAATTAATTGTACATTAGTTCCGGTAAGGTTTATGATTGGTTGTTACATTTCTCCTTTTTTCCGATAGTTACTGTAATTTATAATCTAGTTGTCTTTTTTTAGAGTCCTAACACTAATCATCTAGAAATAATTATAATTTTTTTTTCAGTCAATGTACTAACTGGTTTTTTAATTTAGTTAATGTTCTACTTTATATAGTCTTTATACTTCCCTTGATACGTGCTCTTCTTTAATCTTTCCGATCTTCGCAAATTGTTCTCACTTGTTGCGGTTGTTGTCTCACTTGTTGTGTCTATAGTCTCACTTGTTGTGTCCCGGATGTTGCTGCTGTCTGTGTCCTGAAATGTCGTCCTGGATGTTGTGGCTTCGTAGCTGCTTGGTACTTTTACACTCGCCGTTTCATCGTTGGCTTTTGACAATTGAGCTGTTCTAAGTGGTTTAACCTTCGATGCATCTCTGCACTTAACTTTTCCATCCTTTACACGTCTCGCACGGATGGTTGATCCTTTTATGCTTGTCACAACGTATATGTACGGCTCGTACGGTGTATGCTTCTTCCTTTTCTTCTCTCTCTTTATCAAAACGGCATCACCGCACTTGATTGTATGTGTTTTCACTCTGTGACGTTTATCGTGGTACTGCTTACGTTTCTGCTTGTACGTTTTGTCATTCTTCTTGACCTCATCTTGGGTGATGTAAACTTCGGTGGGAAAATGTTCCAATCGTGTTCGAACTTGACGGTGCATCAAAACCTCGTACGGCGTTGACTTTGTTGCCGGATGGGGTGTCTGTCTGTATGCTTGTAACATATCATATATTGCACTCTCGATTTCGATTCCTTCTTCACAGGCCATCTTTGTTGTTTTGTTGATCAGCTTATTGAAATTTTCCACTTGGCCCTGCGCCTTCGGATGTATTGGTGTTACTCGCTTGTGGTGAAATCCCATTTCTTCAGCAAAGGTTTGGAATTGTTCACCATTGAATGGTGGACCGTTATCAGTTTGTAGTATTCGAGGTATTCCATGGGTAGAAAAAATTTCTTCAATTTCTTTGTCACTGGTATTGTGGATGTAGATGTTACCATCTCCACCTCTGGATATCGTGAATATTGGTCGGTAAGTACCAGTGCATATTTGTGGTTGGGCAGTGGTCCACAAAAATCAGCTTCTACCTCATCCCATGGTCGGTCTGGTAACTCTGTCATCTTTGCTGGCTCGGTATGGTGGTGATCTGTAGCAATCTGGCAGTCGAAACATGTTTGTACCGTATCTGTTATTCTGGTATTCATTCCAGGAAACCAGTACTTTCTTCGGATCATTTCTTTCGTCTTATTCACTCCGAGATGTCCTTGCTTGCGGGCTGATTGGATGATTCTCTGTCTCAGGGACTGGGGTGGTACAATACGGTCCATTCGCATGATCACTCCATCCGCGACAAAGAGTTCATCTCTGACTTCGTAGTAGGGTTTCAAGAACTGCTTTGCTTCACTCCAATTTCCGGTTTCAATCGTTTCGGTCAGTTCGCATAATTCCTTGTCTTCTGCCGTGGCTTTCTTGATTTTCGACCAGACTATGGCCTGATCTGCTTGAATCGCTGCGTTGACATGTTTCTCAACATGGTCTTTGCCAGTTTCTGGAAGAGGGTGTCGTGATAAATAGTCGGTCATGTTGCTCTTTCCTGGTATGTGGATAGCTTCAAAATGCAGGTTCTGCATCTTGATTATAATTCTTTCAATTCGTGGTGGAATTTTCGCTTTGGGGTTGTTGAGAAGAGGAAGTAATGGTTTGTGGTCAGTCGCTAGCTTAAATTTTGGTGCTCTGAGTAAGTACATCTGCAGTCGATTTGTGGAAAATTCAGCTGCTAATGCCTCCCTTTCGATTTGAGAATAGCGTGTATCGGTCAGTGGCCATGGAATTCAAGTATTGACTTTCGGTATTCACATTTCTCTTGTCTTAACGTAAGGTTGTAGTCCTTTAGTCGTCCCAGCACTATCTTCAGGTTCTTGTCGTGGTCAGCAAGATCTACACCTCCAATCATAATATCATCACGATTGTTCAGTGTTCTGGGAATACCCGATAGGATGTTTGCCATCTCGCCATCAAATAGGTCTTGACTGTTGACTCCCCCGAACGCAAGACGTTTGTATCGGTAATTTCCCCATGGCGTTGAGAATGTCATGGCTTGTCTGGACTGGGTATCAATGACAAACTGGTGGTATCCATGGTTGAGGTCAAACTTGCTGAATATGCGGCAATCCTTAAACGCTGTAATAAAATCTTCTGTAATGGGTGCTTGGACCTGGCAATTTCGTAGCATGGATTTATTCAGTGTTCGTAAATCCAAGCTGAGGCGTATATCATTGGGATTCTTTGCTATAGGTTGTACAACCATAGCAGAACACCATGTTATAGGTTCTTGATCAGGAACTTTCTCCATGATGTCTTGTTCCACAAATTCTTGGAGTCGTTTCTGGAGAGGTTCCATTAGGTGGTATGCAACTCGTCTTGGTTTTTGTGCAACTGGTTCAGCCTGTTCATCCATTGGTAAATGTAGCTGATTCTCCTCTCCATTGCGGGTCGCTCTGCAAATTCCATGAAATAGATCTTGATATGGTTTGAGTAGCTCGTCATCACTGGACTGCGTTTCTTGTAGTTTCCGAATATTGCAAGTACCACTGGGTTTGTTCGGTTCTTTAAGTCGTCCTGTTTCATCAATCTTCACCATGCCCAATTCTTCTAGGGTTGTTCGTCCAATTAAAGGTAAAGAGTTGATTTTCCCTTTAATGATGACCATTGGTGCTTGTGTTATGCGTGTCTCGTTTTCAATGGTCACAATGCATTCGCCTTTGACTGGTAGCTTCTCTTTCAGCGTATTTAGCTTTACTTTCGACTCGTATAGTTGTATCTCTGGTGACTTGGTTTTCAGCTCTTGAAGTTGTATTTCATCCATAATGTTAGAGTCTGCACCTGTGTCTGGTTCAACGAGTGTTTTATGACCATTTATGTAAACAACACAGGATAAAGTCGTTTCATCCCCTGTCGTCCTGTGTATCTTTAAGTGGTTTACCAAGTCGCTATCACTTGATGTGCTGCTTTCGGTACTCGGACTTCGATCTCTATTGTAGGTAACATGCTTGACATTTTTATTTTCTGGCATTTTCCTGTCTCTCCGATTTCTTTCTCCCGATGTTGATTGTTGTGTGTCTCTTGTGTCTTTGCCTTCGAATTGTCGTTCTCGTCTGCTATTTGAAAATCTTTCTGCGGGCTTCGATCGACATACTTTGGCGTAGTGGTTACGTTTGCCACATGCATTGCAAAGAGATCCCATTGCTGGACATTGTTTGTGAGCTCGGTCATATCCACAACGGTTGCAAGGATTTGTTGTTTTTTCACGGGTCGATGATGTGCTTTGTTCACGGAAAATCTGAGACGAAGGTCGTTGTCGTTGTTGTCGATAATTTTGGACTCGTTTGATTGTTTCGTCTGAATTTACTTTCTTGTCCATCTCTTTAGCTTGTGTTCGGGTTTCCTCGTCCAACTAAGCTTCTTCTAGAATTTGGTCGAGCGTCCAAATCTTGCGTATTGCTTTGATGCGTACGACATTGTTCGTCATTGTTTTTATTAAGTGGTCTCGAATAGCTTCGCTCTCGTTTGAGAAACTGCATTTCTTTGCTATTTCCCTGATGCGTGTATAGTATCGAACAAGCGATTAACCGTGGTTTTGCTTAAGATTTCCGAACTGAAATCTAGCAAAATCTTTGTTCTTCTTTGGTAGAAAATGTTTGTTGAGTTTGATTATGAGTTGTACATAGGCATCTTCACCGGCTTCGTCGCCTGTAGCGTCGAGAAGTGTGTCTTCTAAAGCTGCGATTATTTGACCGCCGTAAATGATTAAACCGTCTTTCTTCATCTCTGGGTCTGTGATCCCAAAGTAGCGAAACTGTCTTTCGATATTCCGTAGCCATTTCTCCCATCCTGAAGCAGTTTCAGTGCGATTTTCGTTGATCTGAAATGGTCTCACGTTGAGTTGGCGGTTGGTCACGCTTATATTATTTACGCTCGCGTTCGTCTCAGAGCTAGAACCTTTTTTCTCCTTGTCGTGGCTCATAATTTCTTGCTCTAGATCAATCTTTAGTACATCCTCGTCGCCAATGTAGTAATTTAAATACTAGTATAATAGTTCTTCAAGGAAGACAGCTCTTCGCTTAACGTTTTATTCTATACTACAAATATTCTCAGTTTACACAAACATGCTCACGCTAATATCATGCTAATATCATGCATAATTAATTGTACATTAGTTCCGGTAAGGTTTATGATTGGTTGTTAC